AAGCAGTGGTATCAACGCAGAGTACTACATGGAGACGCAGCTTTTGCAACAACTAGATTTTTTCTAGTGCTGCAGTTGGCATTTAGATTTGAAATACTTCCTCGAAAATTCTCTGCGAGCAGTAGATTCAACAAAATCACAAATCTCACTATTTCCTTCTCTGTTTCATGTCGCATTTTACGCGGTAGGTGAAATTAGTTAAGATTTTGAAGTCACATTTTGTTATAACAAAAATTACTCAATTAAATTTGTAAAGACGCACTTTCACTTCCATACATAACATCTAATAAACACGTTTATTTGATATGCGATTCTGTTCAACGTATTCGTGTATTCAATAATATGGTTTATCTGGGTTTATTGTTGTCCAATAAAGGGGAGTGCAAACGCTTTCCTTGGTGAGAAATCTTTACCTTCTAGAGAAAAAAGGTAGAAAAAGGACGCGAAGAGTGGCGTTAAAACCGTCTCGTCTCTGACTTGCGGAGTAATATGTTTCAGAGAAAGTTGTCTTGAGATTCGCAATAAGGGCGAATTTTCATTGTTTCTGTAAGTCTTGCTAAAGTCGAACGATACCTAATTAAAAATTCGCCGCTCAAAAATCAATTAGTCTATTGATGTAAAGTAAGCTAAGTCAGATGAGAGAGGAAGAACATATCTTCCTACTGGTAAACTTCACAACAAAGGTGCTGATTCAGACACATCCAAGTTTAATATTGTAAACGCAATCTGTGGATTCATAATATCACTTAATTTGAGTTGGATATGACTGTGCAGGGTGCTCGACTCAACTCTCAACGGATGACAACTGCGGCTGAACCAGAATGTGCAACCCCGAAATTTTTTCCTGATTAGGCACACAAGTTTATTGTTGTACGTGTATTGTTGCGGCTCATTGCAGCGTTTTCTGTAACTTGAAAATCGAGTTTTGTGGTGCAAAAGCGCGACAACCCTATGGTGAGGTTGGAGTCTGTCTGTCAAAATCAGCGATTACGCGGAGTTTACGAAAGCGCTCTTCACCTTATCTATCAAAAAGGCTAAGTGTATTCCAGGACTGTTATTTGAAATGAACGCGGGCTTGAAAACTCCTCAAACCAGCTGTTTGTTGACGCAGTTTAACTTCTGATGCCTTTGGAAACGAAAAATGCAAGGATCATCTTTCCTTGAGTAGCATGACAGGTCCTAGGTGCTGCAAAAGTTTCATATTCTGGGATGTAACTCTACAAAAAAATTTGGGAGTCAAGGAATGCGATAATGTTTAAAAAGGCCAGGGTCTTTATAATATGTCCAGCTTGCAAAACAGGCTTTTTCAAATTTTTCCATTTATCTCCGTTCGAAATCAACGGGATTGGAAGCCGTTCTGAGGAGTTATGGTAGGCTTACATGCGCACCATACAGCAAAGTTTCAGATAGATTCACTGACAAAAACGAAAATTACGACGATTTCTATAGTGTCTTTATAATTATGTCCAGCACTGTATTGGCTCGTTCCGAAAGTAATGTCGCTTTTTTAAATGAACGCCACACCATGGAATCAAGATTTTCAAGAGGTCTTGAGAGCGTTCGATGCAGCAATTCGTCCTCTTTTTAATGGTTGTAAATTCATTGCATAATAATCAATGAGCTGTCGAAAAACCAAAACCTGCGACTCTTGCTTTTTGCCATGGTCCTTCGGCTATTTTTTCTAAATTTTTATACCTATTCTCCGAAAAAGTACAAGTGACTGGTAGATAGAACAAACACTATAGGACACAAAGCAATTTTTTTTCCTTAGCATGCTTCTTAGAGTCTTTGGAATCAATTTTTCAATACCATCAAATTCCATATTTGGTCAACTTGAACCTCACAGAACAATAACCGGCAAGCAACTCGGGTGTCGTTCGACGCAGCTTTTTCTTCTCTTTCTAACAGTTATTTTTTGTTTCTGATTATCAAGTTTTCCGGGAAAAAATCATCATAATTTAGGTTTTAAAGTGGCGCCCCAGGCTGTACCCGAATTTTCGAAAGTTGCTAATCTGAAGCGGTGGATACTCATTTGGTTTGTAAAATTAGTGTCAAACCGTAATCCATCTTTGAAAGTTTTGAAATCCGAAGAATTATTGGTGTTTGATACATTTGTGTTCGAGACAAGCCTGCTAAAATTCGGTGGTTCCATCAAAAAATTGGTACAAAAATTATGACGAGCTCTGGAAAGTAGAAAAAAGTCGCGCTGTTTCTTGTATGGTTTGCTCAATCCACAGTTTACTTGGATTCGGAGGATTGTTGTAAAAAATTAGAAAAAGTGAAACTTGGCTTTCTCAAAAAGCATAGATTCAGATTTTGATAATTTTTCGAGAGGTTATTAGATTTTTCGCAGTAATTAAATAATCATTAGAAAGAGAATGAAATGCTGCATCGAATGCTACAAAGGTCTTGTAGAAATCTTTATACCACGAAGTGTGGTGTTCATTTGAAAAAAGCAACATTTCGGTACGACCTAATAATCCCCTCTGACTTCTAATCTTTTTCTCTGCACCTACTTACGCTTTCCTTCTTCCAGAATTTTCTAGAACTGTTTTGGTATTGTCTCTTACATGGAGGCATTCCGGTGCCTCTAGCGTTCAAAAACGAGGGGTGAAAAAATGTCGAAAAAATTCAAAAACTTTTCTAAATTTTTCTTTTTATGCGCATCGTATAGAAATAAATACAGAAACCATGAAGATGATTTTTTGAAATTTTTTGGAGACGTTTTCTTTGTTGAAATTCCGATGATCGCAAAGATGGCGCACACTGAGATTTGAACCACTCAGAAAAACGTGTGCGGACATGTCTGCGTTATCTCCCCATTTTCGCTAAGCACTACAGACTATGCCTCACCTGATTACCACATTGTTGGGTCTATCGCTCATCACCTGAGAGAACGCCAGCTCATTTACAAAAATGGAAGGGAACGGACTTTCAGCCACAAAGTGAGTGTTTTGCGCACGGATCACGGATGCGACGGTACCGCTGAATAGGCCTTTTGACCCTGTCCATATGTCGCGAACATGAGATTTCTTTACAAAGCTTCTGAGATTTCTCGTCAGCAACGCATCTCGGCGGAAGACGGCTCTTCCCATAGCAACCTAATTAATGCGCGCTTCCGATTAGTTAGCGCTGCAACACCGATTCATTAAGTGAGAGCGGCAGCCGTCAGAGACTGAGACGCGCGGCATTACGATTTGCGCCAATGTCCTCACAAATGGAAGAATCAAACAGATTTCAAATTTTCCA